TTCGAGAAACTGATACTGAAATGCATTGCTTTTATAATATGTTGGAATCTCTCGAACAGTAAACATGGCTTTAGACTGTCAAAATGAATGGTGAGCAATCTCAACATTATAAATTACTTTATAGTTGGGGATCTGGATCATGGAGGAGATGTGGACGTAGTCTATACAGACTTCACAAAAGCCATCAGTCCGGTATACCATAACTTCCTGTTGTCTAGATCATCCACTTCTGGCTTGGTTTTGGACCTATCTAAATGAAAAAAAAAAGTTTGTCTCTTTCATGGTAACAACTCGGAATATTACAATTTTCTCTTCGGTGTCCCACAGGGCACCAATCTTAGCTCTTTACTATTTAACATCTTTATCAGAGATCTACCTCAAGTTATCAAACCAGTGAAGTCTTGCGTTTTGCTGATGACGCTGAATTGTTTACTGAAATCCAAAATGAAACTCATGTCCTTATTCTGCAAATGGTCCTAACATTGCTTTTTGATTGGTACTTGCTTAATGGTATGATGATGAATATTAACAAATGCCATATTATAAGTTTGACCAGAAGAAGATGCTCTTCTTCAATTTATACACTATTGACAGCCATCCTCTGCAATCCATGAATAACATAGATCTTGGCGTGAATTTTGATGCTGAATTTGGATTTAAATTGGCCTATTGAACTGTTATATAACGCCAGAAAATGCTGGAATTCCTAATACCAGACACAAAAGATTTTCGTAAAACCCAGCGTTTCAAATTATTATTTTCCGCACCTATGAAGTCTATTTTGAAATAAGCGGTGGTAGTCTGATCAAATCCATATCGAGGCTTCATTTACAATGATTGAAAGAGTTGAAATCAGATTTCTGAGACAGGTAATTATTGACAACCCTCTATAAAGACTAGATTGCAACTATGAGAATATCCAAGTATGAATAATGAACATTCCTACACTATCAGCTAGAAGACTGTACCATGAACTCATCTTCTACAATTCATTATATCTGGGGATATGAACTGTCCAACATTCTTTCTGAAGTGTGACATTATTCTCTTCAATATAAACACATTTTCTAGTTGTGTAAATGATATCATTGGGTATGATCACTTGATTGTCCACACACATTAACATATACAAGAAATCCATCCCAACACACAACCACATACCCTTGCACTTTCTTTTCCAGGTGTGTACGTCCAGTGAACTATATATATATATTTTTAATAAAGTAAGGGGGACTAGACAACAACCTTGTCTCAGACCTTTATTTACTGTGGGTGCTGAAGAACCACTAGTAGTTAATTGGAGTACAAAAATTCACATATAAAAATTCGAATACTAAAGTCCCAAGCATCTATATTTCCCAAAAGATACAGAAGTTCTATAAAGTTATTATGAGTGATCGTAATCGTAAATATTGTACCCTATGTTGCTATCAACATGTTCTTTGTATTTCGTAACAATATTAAAAATTCTGTAGTCTGATGTTTTCACTTTTTTCTGATTTTTTGTCCGAGAGTCACATCATATTTCATGTGATACATTGTTCCTTTAATAATTAAGCTAAAAAGGTTTATAGGTTTGGATGGTATTGGCGGACAACAATCTGAAAATGATTGTGGCATCATTCTGAAGCAGTGTTTGTCCTTGCTAAACTCTGACCAACAGTGATTCCAAAGTGAGGAAGGATATCGTGGAGAAACTGCTTTCCGCCTACCTCTAACATTTATTCTGCTTATATAATTAGTCTGGAACATTATTACATATTAAATATAATATTCTTTTATATACATCAGATGAAACTGTTGCCACTCAGTACTTTGAGGTAACAAGACGGAAATCACCAGGTACTTCATCCATCACTAAATCAAAAGAGTCAAGAACACCTTCCAGCAGTACAAATGCTACATAGACCTTGTTGTCTTGCACTGTTCCATTGACTGTTATAGCTTGAACAGAACACACACTTTCTGTTGAATATCCAGAATCGACTTCTTTACCAAGTGAATGATAGTATATGAAGCCACTGATATGCAAATATGTTGCTCTTCCTGATTGTATTAATTCGCCCTGAATTTCAGATACTTTATAAAAACTATGTCACATCTGAATGATGTTTTGTCTCGAACAACTAAGAAACAATAACAAACAAAAATTGGAATGAGAACTTTCACTGATTGGAAATGACTGACATTTATTTTTATTGGAACAAATATTTTGAAACTTTTGGGCCCTTAACCTTGTACTCTTAAGACACTATGAAATCTATGCCCAGTAAGGTGAAACATCTTCGTTAACTAAAACAATTTAGAATAAGGTGAAGTAAAAATTCTTTCTTCTGTTGCACCATTTGCATAAATTTTGATTTTTCAACATTGACAACTAGTCCAGATGGCTTTGGCTTTGCAATTGGCTAATGATGTCATCTGATGTCTGGACATTTTCCGCCCAAAATACTTTAAATGAACTCAAAATTTCTGTTCTTCAAAATGGTAAGAAAGAGCCCTCACTGGCCTACTTTTTGAATTAAATAAGTTTAAATACCTACAGGCTCTTATGGAAAAACTTGCGCGCATACATTTTTTAAAGTTGTTGAAGATATACAGTGAAAGTATTTTTTTCTTTTATTCAATATGTAGTAATTTTTTTAGGAATCAGAAAGTATCTGGGCATTCTGAGGAGTAATTGATAAAAAACTACTCTGAAATTCATCGCAGAGGGGTCTCAGCGTAGGAGTTAGTTACAAATCATATTATTGTCACTGATGTTTCTCTTAGGGTACGAAATAAAACCACCCTAACTAAAAATTCTGTACCACACACAACCTCATACTATTTGACGATAATTCACTATCACTGTAAACAATGTGGACTAGCCGAAGCCAACCTAACCTCTATTAGGTATTGCCAATTTTGAAAATGAAAAATCATCCAAGAGATTAAATTTATTAGTAAACATTGTTTTTCTAGAGCAACTTTTCAATACTTCTCTTTTCACTATTAACAAATAATTATTTACATGCTCCATTCATGTTTACAAGCACCTATTGTTAATCTGAAATGAAATACAGTAGAACCCTGATATTCCGAATTAACTAGGGGTGTGGTGTGTTCAGATTATCAAAAATACATACATACACAAATACATCTATAGGATAACCAAACACTATGCAATGTAGCGTGCGATATGACAAAGTGGAAATGTTGCAACAATGGAGTACAATACGTACGTAACCACATGTACAGTATGTACATCACATGTGGTATGGAGGTCGTTCGATAAGTAACTTGGTTAGCATACTAAGAGATGACAAAAGCAACTTATGTGAATTTTAATTTAAATCTACAACAATATATGGTAAAATTTCATTGTTGCAAGTCATTATCTCTTCGACTTGAACAAAAGAGTTTGTGAGTCAGAGTGAAAGATAGATAGAACTGGAATTTGTGGTGTTATCCAATTCTTTTTTATGAAAGGTAAAAACGCGAAAGAAATCCATGAAAGGATAGCGCCTACATTGGGTGATTCCTGCTCTTTGTATGAGACGGTGAGACTTTGGGTCAACAAATTTAAGCAAGGCAGGACAAGCATCGAATATGCCCCAAGACCTGGGGCTTCAAAAACAGCTGTGACGCCAGAAAACATCGACAAAATCCATGATATTGTTTTAGCAACAAACGAATGAAAGTGTGCGAGTTAGCAGAGGCCACAGGTATCTCAAATGACAGAGTGCATTTAATTTTGCATCATGAATTGAGCATGAATAAGCTTTGAGCAAGATGGGTGCCAGGATTGCTGACTGCAGAGATGAAACGAAATTACATGAGAACTTCTGTCTAGTGTTTGCAGCTATTCAAGCAAAATCCAGAGGATCGTTATGTTACCATGGATGAAACTTGGATTCACCATTACACTCCAGAAAAAAAACAGCAGTCAAAACAATGTGTTGCAAGAGGAGAACCGGCTCCGAAGAAGACGAAATGCAGTCCTTTAGCAGGGAAGGTGATGGCGTCAGTCGTAAAGGTATTCTTCTTATAGACTACCTGGAAAAGGGAAAAACCATCACTGGAAAATACTATGCATCACTTCTGGACAAACTCAAGGCAGCTATTGCAGATAAACATCCTGGAATGACACGAAAAAAAATGTTGTACCATCACGATAACTGTCCAGCACAATCAAGTCATATCGCCCAGCAAAAATTCACTTAACTTCGTTTCCAACTGCTTCCACATTCGCCCTATTCACTTGATTTGGCCCCTCAGACTTTCATTTGTTTCCAAAATTAAAAAATTTTCTGGCTGGACAAACGTTGGTCAGCAATGAAGAAGCCATACAGATAGTCAATCACTATTTCGAGGGTCTTGAAGAATATCATTTTAGAGAAGGGATCCTGAACCTGGAGAAATGTTGGGTCGAGTGTGCTGAACTTTGAGGGGATTATGTCGAAAAATAAGGTAAGTTACAAAACTCAGATCAGCGCTTTTCATATCGAAACAAGTTACTTATCGAACACCCCTCGTAATGGTTGCTACATTGTGTACAAGAGTTGAAGCACAGATTGTGTCGCTGCTATTAACGGGTATTTTAGTAGTGCAATGAAAGTTTAATTTCGACAACTTGTGTTTCAATAACTAGTTGTTCAGTTCTATAGTAATTATAAATTTCTTTTTTACACTACAAATAAGCATTTTTATTTATTTTGTTTATTTTTTCCTCCAGCCCTAATTACGTCTGGATTATCCAAAATTTCGGATTTGCGAAATTCTACTGTAAATGGTCGAGTGTTTGACTAATGACTGGTACGAACGTAACACTTCTGATATTACCTAATTCTATTAAAAATGTTAACTCATCAATTAATCGTTTAATATATTTTCTTCTCAAGACCTAGTTTGAATATCAGAGCAGATAGGGAATCTCCTTACTGTATTTGAAATATTAATTTTTGAGGGCCTTATTATTCTGAATAACAAGTTTGGATATTACTTTCAACACATACACATTTCAATTCAACACAACACATTCTTTATTAGGAATCTTTCTGAAAAAATGCAAAACCCACTAATTTGAATTCCGAATATCACTATCAATTAATAAATGCAAATACATCACACACATACTTTATTGAATCTTGACAATTTTGGCTGCAATGCATACTAAAAATATAAACATTACTATCAAACAATAACTTCCGCGCAATTCAAATTATTTAACAAGTGATTTTTGATGCATGTTAGAAAATCCTTGAATTTTATTCACTCTTCATTCCAATACACACACACACACACATTGCTGATATGAAGCTGACCTATCATACTTCATTTCTGGTAATCATAAACTCCACTGCACATTCTCATAATTTAAGAGTTTTCAATGCTTGGGCCAAACACTACTCTTGAAGCTTTTGTTCCTAGTTGAGTCCATGCAGCTAATCATACAAGACTGATGAAGTTTTCTTACTAGATCTTCAAACTGTGTTTTCAAGCACTGGCTGAAACACAATAAAACACAATTGAAACATTTGTATGCACAGTCCTAAAGAAAAAGCACATTACCATGAAATTTATGACTTCAAAAAAACCTAAGCAATGAAAGAGAATTGAGGGTTAACATAGAAAAATGAAACACTGAGTATCTTATAGTTGAATAAATAATCAGGCTATATCCTGAGATAATGATGAACAGTGCAATGTGGACTGAAGTATAGCATAAAGTAAATTTTCATTATGTGATAACTGGGTGCTACTATTCTCTATAATTATTTTTCCCTGTTTATTTTGAATTTTCGGCATTCAATATGGCATACTTAAGTACTCCAGTAATTCTCACGAATGTTTATCATTAAAAAAAAAAAAAAAAAATTTAAATTAAAGGAAAACAATGCAGCTTCCTTGAACCCTTGTGGAAATAATGTGGCGATCTCCATAATAATTCATACGAGCAATTCATAAGAAACAAGTCTTTTGCATTATATAATTACACCTGACTTTTAAAATGAACACAATTAGCAAAATAACAATTTACAATTGCTTGAAAAAAGTTATTAACAGAATATCTAATTAAACAATTTGAATAATCTACATACTTCTCTAATTGGCTTTATTTGAAATCTCTACTGAAGCTTTTGATCAGTAGATAACAATGTTTTGATGATAGACATCAATGTCAGAACTGACATGTGGAAGTCAATGTTTGACTTCAGTTTTGTTCCTTTCCAGTCTAGCAAACAACATACACTAGCTAAGGCCTATATTTTCATGGGATAAGCCATCTTCCCTGTTTTCAGAAGACTGTCACCCTGGATAAAAATACTGCTATTGTAGTGGAATTTGGATGTTTAAGACATGAAATATATAATTAAGAAATGCAAATGGTGTAAATAAACAACTCCTGAGACACCTTTAAATCAAATTCTTTCAATATATCTCTTGTTGAAAAACCTCTCAACATTAGTTTTCATTACATAGATTTAAGATTCTAATACCACATATGACTTCTTAATAAAGGAAGAAGTTCAATAATCAGAATTCAATGCCAGAAGATCCAGGTACAAGCTCAAAAATTGATGATGCTAAGACATTTAGAAAATATTGAGACTATAATACTTGGTCTGGTTCCTATTATAAGTAACATGCTTTGTTAAGACGTGAATATTTGTTCTAACACATCTATTATCAGAGAAATTCAAGATCAGATAGGAATAGTTCAGCAGAAATTCACAATGGCCTTTATTTGTTCAGTGCTGGATAGTATTCAGAATCAACATAAAATTGGAGTATAAACAGAAACACAACAAAAATGATGATAAATAAAAAAAAATACAATTTGATACTGTAAAACATTTTTATGTTACCATTTTTATAAATTTTCGATATTTCCACATTTGAGTAGGGTGACAAGTCTTTGGTACATTGGGCAACACTAATATGTCCTTGAGATTGGCATATCTGCGCAGTGCTCATGCTACTTCAAAGTATCATTGTTTTGAATCACTATAAATACTGTTCATTGCCTGATTGACATACAGTAAATACCACTATCTGAGTAAAATGGCTGACGATTTGTTTCCAATGCAGTATTTGAGAGAAGACAAAATAATCGCCCCCCAATTTCACGCACAACAGTTACATAATAAAAAGTTTTCAAATTCAAGGTTTGTTTCTAATTTTAATTTGTTTAATTACCGGAGCTAATGGGAGGATAAACATTAGATTATTCGATTACTTAGCAACAAGAACAGTAGTTTGATTCTCTCCAACATTGTATAAAGCTTTATTTTGTAAGTAGACCGAAATTCTAATCGTTGACTCTTGCTGTTCCTTATTATTTCAAACCTCCAAAAAAATTTTGTTTTTTCCCCTTTCCCCCCTTTTTTCTCTCCCTTAGGTAATCAAACTGTATGCAAAAATTTTGTTTTAATAGCTTCTGATTGAAATTTTGGAACTATTTCTTCAATTGCAATGTACCATATTATTTCGAGCAGTGGTATTATGTAATTCACAGAAGCTATTTTCTGGTTGCAATGTCTTCAGCATAATTTATCATGTTATGATACTGATTTAGTAGCTTAGATTATGTAAAATACATATCAAACTAAAGCTGATAAAATGGAATTACTGCATCACATGATTCTGAGAGCTATAATATTTGGACCCACAATAATAAAATTATAATGTTGAAGATAAAATCCATATAGCATTGTCTTTTGTAATCGTTTGTTTTGATGCTGCACTCAAAATGAAAAGAGGTTAAATAAATGTTTTGGGGATAAGACATGAGAGAAGACATGAGACCAATTCAAAGTACATTACTACCGTTCAGGGAATGCAAGCAATTGTAAAAAATGTAGTGCTGTCGAGAAAAAGTGTTTTTGCTAAAACACTAATCCAAAGACTAAATTTATCATTCCTCTTACAATTTCAATTAAATTTTCCCATGGGTGGTATGAGATACTGTAGGCATCCAAGCAAAAAAAACTGTACTATGTCTTACTCGCACCATTTGAAGAGGTAGATATTCTTCAAATAGCGCATTTTGATTTTTTGAGATGCTAGCTAGCTACCTAAGTAACCTACCTAGCTACCTACTAATATATTCAAACTCTACCAGAACATAGAAGAACCTATCATCATTTGAACAATAAAAGAGGCATGTTAAACATAAGACATATCTCACTCTAACTACCTTCACATGGTAGCGCATTTTGAAATACAGGGATGTAAAGGAGGGAAAGAAAGAAAGGAAAAGAAAGAAAGGAAGGAAAGGAAAAGAAAGAAAGGAAGGAAAGGAAAAGAAAGAAAGGAAGGAAAGGAAAGAAAGAAAGGAAGGAAGGAAAGGAAAAGAAAGAAAGGAAGGAAAGGAAAGAAAGGAAGGAAGGAAAAGAAAGAAAAGGAAGGAAGGAAAAGAAAGAAAAGGAAGGAAAGGAAAGAAAGAAAGGAAGGAAGGAAAAGAAAGAAAGGAAGGAAGGAAAAGAAAGAAAAGGAAGGAAAGGAAAGAAAGAAAAGGAAGGAAAGGAAAGAAAGAAAAGGAAGGAAAGGAAAGAAAGAAAAGGAAGGGGAAGGAAAAGAAAGAAAGGAAGGAAGGAAAAGAAAGAAAGGAAGGAAGGAAAAGAAAGAAAAGGAAGGAAGGAAAAGAAAGAAAAGGAAGGAAAAGAAAGAAAAGGAAGGAAAAGAAAGAAAAGGAAGGAAAAGAAAGAAAAGAAAAAAAATGGAAAAAACTGGGGAAAAGGGAGTAAGAGATCTTCCCCTTCAATTCCACCCTTATTCTTTTCTTACAATTCCCATTAGCAGGCCAGTACCCAAAACCAAGAAGTTGCAGTGTCCAACATACAGAGGACAACATACAGGTTTTACTGTACATAATAATAAAACCAATTATAACATGTAGATGTTAATAATTTTTAAGAATAAAATGATTCAGATTGTTAAAATGTATGACTTCTCTTACAAAACCAAATAACATTCAAACAAACATTACTCAAAGCAGTCAAATGTGAATGTGAGTTCCCCAATTGTTTGTGGTTTTGAACAGCAAATGCTGTTCACAAAAATTTGTTCTTCATGAAAGCAACAAACCTATACACAATTTCTGTGATATAAAATTAATTGATGATTTGAGTTGTGATTCGTAGTGGCATAAGTCAGATTTACCAGTGCTTCCAGTTTCCAGCATACATAAATTCTTAAACAGTTTTTCACACTTTATATTTAATTTAAATAAACCATATAGGCACCATCTATCCCTATCACAGAATTTAGAATTATCTATGAGTAAATGTAAAAAGGGATTTTCTGGAAACATATATAACCTGGAACCACTGATAAATCTGGCCTATGTCACTTCAAATCTCAGCCCCCTTTCCCCCACTTGAAAAGTCCAATAGTCATTTTCACTGCTTAAAACTTCAAATAAAGATCTTAGGTCGAATGAGCAAATCCAAGTCTCATTACAGAAGAAAATATAAATGCTTACAAATCAAAGGTAAATATTGGGAACCAAGGCTTGCATTATAAAAAGAAAATTACAATAAAGTCATAGCAGAATTTTAAAAAAAATTTCTTCTTCTTCTTTGTATACTAGTTCTGTGCGCTTGTACGCTTCCGCGTCTGAGTCAATACATTCTTGGCTATCTGGGATGAGCCATGTCTCTCGGTCCATTGGGCTGACGTTTCAGCCATCTTGCTGTGGCTTTCTTCAGAGCTATACTGCAGCAGTAGTGTCCCTTCAAGGTCACAAGCTGGAAGAAGATGGGGACACTGTCATCCAATCAAGAGCTTCGTCATGACTTAAATATGTGGTACTGCAGTTCCCGATTCAATGACAGTGCCACCTCTCCTTCCAGCTTGTGACGTTGCTGCACAAGGGACACATTTAAATACATTTAAATTTGAGTATATGTTCTGAGCCTGCAGCTGTAGTAGTGTTTAGCTTGAATATCAGCTTCAGGCATAATGCCTATTTACTACTGTGAACTAAAAGATCAGAGTTAACGTATTCTGCAACACAACCATACACTGAATTGGGACTTTCATGAAGGTGCCTCTAAAAATGGAATTATATATGCAATGTGTTGATGAAATAAAATAGTAATACAAAGAAATTACTTTCTTTGTAATTTACACTAGAAAAATTCTCTCTGCTTCACAATTCCTTGAATAACAAAACAAGCAAGAAACAAAATTAGGGGTCCAATAATTGAATTTGCCCGTTCTTTCATTGTGATTTGAAAACTTTCGCACTGTGGGTAATCATATTTACCAACAAAAACATTTTTAACAATAGCCTTGGCAAGGGCCAATCTCAAAAATATAATGATACAGGCCTGTGATCAGAAACTGATTATCATTTTCATGTCTCTTTAATAAAGTAAATTGAAATATTACAGTTGATGTTCTCATGAAGAGAATGTTATTTTCTTATCAAAATAAGGTGCTGATGACAAAGACATTTGACATATATTTCTCTACTTTATGAGGCTATCAATACAACACCCAGATTCTTGCAATTTAGAAATAAAACCAAACAGAGAAATTATAAAACTATGAACTACACCATTCCTATTCTTTATACGAATAACATATGGGTCCAGACAAGAACGAAAATGGACTATGAATTATTCATATCTTATTGCAGAAAGTCATTGCTTTTGTTAAAAATTCTAAGCTTACGTGGTGTTAAAGGCATTCTGGAATTTAGAAACAAATTATATAATCTATTACTTTAAATGTCAAAAAAACGTAATTTATACGAAGCAAAATTAATTTTCGCATCTTTCAGATACAGCAGCATAAGAACTAATAATACATCATTGGTAACAGTACAATCATATAAAATTGTTAGAAGTACAACCATCTACTTTACTGTTTCTACACCAAACAGTTCACTTCAAACATAGCTTCTTTAAATTTTTTAATTTTTCTATTGAGTAATTCCCATCCTTCCATTCGTCACAAAAAAAATTCCAAGTTATCACTTGTAGATTAAGAGATAAGAGGGAAAGATCTTAGCACTGTCATATATTGGTATTGCATATTGAGCAGTGTTCATTATTAACAGAAAAAATAAAAAATAAAATTATACAAAATGTTACAGATGAAAACGCAAACCAAGAAACTGATAGGAAAACACTATGACAAATTACATTGGGCAAGAAATTCTGCCCAGTCAGTATGATGCACTGTGATGATTTCCTTTTTGAACAAATTTTTAAATGTCATTTCGTAACTAACAACAAACAACAAGTTTTAAGAAATTTACACAGCCCATCTTCAGATGAGAAATCTTTAGAATTACATAAACCCCAAAAACAATGACACACACACGCTGCTCACATACACACACACACACACCTGTTACGGGTGCTTCAGTTGAATCTTCCTTGTCTGAAGGGGCCTTGTCCAGGCTTGAATCATCAGTAGAAGGCTTTCTCACGAGCCCCAATACATTCAGCATACTGTGAGTGTCGGCTCCTGATCAGAAAAACACACAACATAAGTGCTTTAACGCACCTTAATAAAAGAATTAAATGATATTGATATTGAGGAAAGCAATTGTATGCTCCGCCCCAATGCTGCCATTTCCAATTTTCCAACCCTCTATACTGAGACCTCTTCCTTAAAAACCGTGAAAACATCTATATCACACTTTCTTACTGCTTCCCATGATACAAACGATCACAATCACATTTAAATGATCAACAACAAATTTCAAAATGTTTCCAACAAGACAATTCTATATATGAGGAAAAGTATTCTGGGATGTGAAAAATGTTGGAACAAAATTTCATTCTCACAAAAATTTCCTCTTGAGTAATGAAAAACAAAAAAAGATAATAATAAAAAATCAATGTCATTCAACTAACTACAAATAAAATTGATATACTCAATGTATACACTAAAGAAAAGAAAAGAATGAGCTTGTAACTACCATATACAAAAAAATTACAAACCCAGAACTACACTTTTAATAATTATTTTTGAAGTTTTATTAAAATGAATTGTTATGAATCACTGCTCAATAAGTATTCCCTTTATTGTTTAAGAGTAAAACGTAACTATTGGCAAAAATGCATCTTTCTTATGTATGCAGTTAAGAGGGCCTGAAATGATGAAATTGCACTATTCTTGATGAATGTAGTACGTTAACAAATAAAAATGAAATAAGCATGTGAACACAATGGTAAAGAGATAGTTATACAACCAAAATCTGATGAAAAAATGCAGAGTAATTTGCAATTGGTTTTCAAACAGATAGTAACCCGAGTATGAGACTGAACAGTACAGTAACACCAAAGAACAGGCAATTCATTAGACAGAAATCCATTGACGTCATATTGCATATGAAATGTACAAGCAACATAGCACGGTCATTCAAAATACACTTCAACCTAGAAAAAGCTTTTTCTTAGGCCATTAAAATTTGTTAATAAATAATGAGTTCATAAAACTTTACTTCAATCTAAATTTTACTATACAAATAACTGTATAGTGATACACGTTCACAATAATTTTTGGGTTCCAACAAATTCATAAAATATGTTCAGAAGAAACTGAACTTATGATGATTCAAAATGACAGAGTATTTAGTAATAAGAATTTGCTTTGTTTCACTTCAAATTACTAAATATTGAGCAATGTTAGAACATGTTCTCTAATACACATTTTAAAGCAATTTTGTTTTGAGATAGTTTACTTATTTTCACCCCACTATTCTGTTCCTAATATCATGTTTGAAAACAAGATTGCTTGAACTGCCAAAGCCCATACATTGTATACGAACAGAGAGTTGAAGTGTGCAAGGGACACACTGAACCCTTGAAAAACAAAACAAACATTTCAAACTTTGAATCGTTAACAATATAGAAAGAAACAGAAGAAATAAAAATACATAAATTAAATTAATATAGACTAAGTACATTATTGTACAATCTTAATGACAAATTATTTTTATAAATTAAATGTGAATGTATAAATTAAGAGGAGAAAGAAAAAAAAAAGAAAGAAAGAAAGAAAGAAAGAAAGAAAGAAAGAAAGAAAGAAAGAAAGAAAGAAAAGAAACAGGGCTGGTTATAAATTCTAATAACAATAACACCCTAACTTTCACATAATGTTTATCAGTGTTCAATCTGTTCAATATCATACATACAGAGTTTTAAAAAATGTCAATAATATGGGTAAATACACTCCTAAATGAAAACATAGGCCTGCAAATTATGACCTGCTTGCCATGATTGCAGTTCCAAAAGAAAGCTATTTCTTGGAGGGGAGGGGGGACAAATTAATAGCATTGACTGTAGAATATGTAGCAATCAGTCCTGGTCAACACATTTACACAAAGCATCAGTAGAGAGTTCATTTCTAATAAGAATATGAAGTACTCATCTACAAAAATATTGTAATTATCTATAGATACTCGGCTTGGTTACTAATTCATGTACCATGCAAGAACTTTTGCATGTTAAAATCTCACCATCTTCCTATTCTTCTATTTTCATAATAACGTGGAAGTTGTTAATAAAACATGTTTATTTCCTGTAGATTACAGTGCAAGGAACATTTCTTTGAGGCTTTAGGCTTCAAAATGCCAAGTTTTAAGGCCCTTCATTCACAAGTTATAGTCTATATAGATTTTAATAATGCGTTTTTTCTACAAATCCTTCATATTTTTTAAGTGAAAGTGCAATTCATCACATCTCCAAGAAATGCTCTTCCTTCAGAGATCTCATTTATAGAGATTGGTTGGGTATGAGAGCTGCAAAACACATCTAAATTATATAGGAGAGGATAAGCAGAGACATATATTTAACTGAACATCAGTATCATTTAAAACTAAATCAATTATTCAAATTAAAGGTTATGAAACAATCAGTCATCTCTGTAAACACATTTACACAAACCATCAGTAGAGAGACCCTAAATTTTAAGAAGAATTTGAAATGTTCATATCCTCACATTGTAATTATCAACAGACTCTCTTTAACTAGTAATAGCATATTTAACTCAACCTTGGTTTCATTTAAATTCCATTGGCTTAATACTTAATTTAATAAGCATTATGCACAGTTATGAAATAATGATAATAATCTTTCTTGGGTAAATTATTATTATTATTATATTATTATTATTATATTATTATTATTATTATTATATTATTATTATTATATT